ACCCCTCTCAGACGTGTGCCAACGTGCACGTAGAACTGCAGCTTGAAGGTTTCTGTCGATGTCTTGGGATGAAGCTGTTCACAAAGTTGCACATCTCCAGAAAGTTGACTGCACAACAAGGAGAACTGCAGTATGAAGCTTTCTGCTGCCAGATATGTGATGGAGAGGCTTACACCAGGAAGGGGGAGCACTACAGAAACTTGAGTCGACTGTGAGGGCGGTTTGCCCGTAATCGAAGCAATCGCAGACATGTGTTGCCGAGGAAAAATTTTTTTACCAGTGAAGCTGTCACGCAGATATGCGAGTAGCAGGCTTCTGAAAGAACCTGCAGCGGCATCGCTTCGAAAGAGCGCTGACCCGCATCTCTCAACTGAGAGAAGGGATGATGCGAATGATATCCAGAGCAGTGTTGCTGTGCAAAACCGTCAAGTGGGAGGGCCCGTCGTAACCCCAAGTACTTTTTCACGCTAAATGAATGAAGATAACTACTTTGTCAACTATGCTGAAAGCTCCTTTATTACCTAGCACAACTAGCAGCAACTACGCGCACTTTTTTTATCGTTGGGAAGTGCCTAGAGGCAGCACCGGAAGGTCCCTGGTGTCCTGTTGGAAGACAGAGCACATTCAACATATGTATTGTCGCCTTGTCGAAAACGCTATCGGCTGCAAAACGGTTCACAAGAAGCTATGGAACCTCTCTCTACACACCTTGGATGGCAGAAGCGGCGAAGGGTTCCGATACAGCAACAGTAGATGTCGCCAGTCTCACGGGCAGCTACCACCCACAGTCAGCACACACCTGTTCATTTTACCGGCACAGTGACTGCTCGTTGCTCTATTCTCAGTATAAGAAGCTGTAAACGACAAACGCTTCCCCCCTGCCCCTCAACAGCCCCGGAAACAGCTGAAGGCAACGACAACCTGCCAGCTGGCAGCGCATCATTAGGCGCAAGGAGACATATCACGCGTACTTAACTCTGATAATAACCTGCGGGTCTTCTCTCACAGCGTCACACAGCAACGGTAACACACTTGTCGAGAAAAAGTGTTAACTTAAGATACTATTTTGCGAGGATTCGCCTAGAAAGGCAACTTCACATTGACGTGCGGCTTTGCGCGGAGGGGGGAGAAAAACAGCAGCAGCGTGTTAAACTGACACGCTGCGGCCTTAAAATGCCGCGCAACTGAGGGC